AAAATGTATATCGATTTTTCTGTATATCAGTTTGTATTTTTTCGGTATTTATATTTCTAAAATTATTCACAGTAAATTTCGAATTTTATATATTTCGGCATTTCATTACATACATTTATTTATTGTAAATATATTTTTTTTTGATTTTTCAGAATTTATCAAATTATTTACTATAAATTTTGAAACTTACGTCTCTAATTAATTACATAATTTTTTGATATTTCAGTTTCTCAAATTATTTACAGTAAGTTATAATGCGTTTTAGTTGTTTTAGCTCGAAGTTGCGAACAAACAAGTGCATTTGTGTGACGATCTGAAAATCGATCCAGTCAAGGATTTAAACTATATTTCATCAAACTTCTATTATAAATAGAGTAGGTAGGAATCGATTCGCGTACGTAACAAAAGGTCGCACATTTGCATAATTAATGTTGAGGAAATATGAAGCGACGTTTTGGAAGATACAGATGGGATTCATTGATCGCGCCAAGGTGACGCAACGGAAAGCGCTTATACACCTTCCGGCTTCTGGTGAATGGAATTACGTAAGAGGAATAGAGACAGATTGAATGAGATATAGAGTGAATGTGAGAGAGAAATGTATATAGAAAGAGAAAGAGGAAGACCTTCGTGTTTGCTAAATTAATTAGGTTCTGATGAAGGAATGGAAGTAGAGAGAGAGAGCAGATTAAATTGGAAACGTGTTGGGAAATCCGATACACGTATAATTGCCGAACATCATCAACCCACGCATCGGACATGCACCATGCCGAATCTAATTGGATTATGCAGAAGTACGTTAACCCGGACATCTTTCACATCTGAATCGATTTTCCGTTGAGCGATTTTTTCCTTGTTTCTTCATCTTCAGATCGAAGCGGGGGGAAATCCATTAGACTGTGCAAACACGCTCAGGATAAATGATATTCAAACAATACGGTTTCTTAATAATCGTTTGCCTTCGTCCTTTTCGTCGTCCTCGAAGATATTGCGCAAATACCTACCCTTGACACGTTGACCGGGAGGGGAGAAAAAAGTTTCTTTGAGTTGAAGAAGAAATCCTAGTGAAATCGTATACCAAGTTGGAATCAAGAAACGTGCATGAAACGTGTAGAAGCAACGATTCGTATTGAGTGTGCGAGGGCCGTATGCTAAATTCAATTACGCGGCCAGACCTTCCTACGTTGCAAAGGCCGTCCGTCCCCCCGACCGATATTATGTTCAGCCAAGTTCGTGGCACTTTTATTGAAAATAATAGTCTTTCATATTGGATCAGGAGGTTCTCCGCCGACGGCCGTCTGGGATTTCAGTTGTTCTAGCTCAATGCCAATTCCGAGACTAATACGCTTTCACGTGATCTAATTCCATATAAAAACTAATTACCACTTAGATAAAACTACTTTCTTTATTCTTACTCAAGTTATAGTTTACAAAACAAAATTATATTTATTTTTAACATTATTGAACAATTAAAATTAAATTAATTATGGTAACATTTTTTTCTAAACGAGTTAAATCTTGAGTATAGATAAAAAAAAATGTGAATTTTGTAATCGATGTTAGAAAAAAACAACAAATTTTATTAGTAAATTTATTCAGAAAATAGGAAAAATGATGTCTGGTAAAGTGTGAATTCAAGAAAACTTACGAGAAATTATAAAAAAAAAACAGTACAAGGCTTGTCCAATCTATATAGTATAATTACTGTTACTCAGAAAATAAAAAAAACGTGACGTGGTTACATTTCCAGCAAGGTCACTTTTGTCAGTTCGTAGTTGATGAACGGAATAAAAGTAAACTTTTAGTTTTAAGATTATGTAGTTATCTTCAGCGGTTCTCGAGTAATTTACTAAAAACTGAAGACAATATCGATATGTTTTGCATTGTGTTATAAAAATTATAAATTTATTCTAGTTCTTTTAATATTTAATAATAGGGACATTCTGACCCATATTTTTTCATAGTAGTTACGTGTTAAACGCATAATTTTGAAAATGTCTTGTATATATTGAAAATAAGATAAAACTTTACAATTGATTTCTTTAGAATTAGAATTTTTGTATTTAAGTTTCTCAGATTATTCACAGCAAATTTCTAAACTTACGTTTTTGAGTATTTCATTACAGCTGAGTAAATTTAAAAACTCAGATTTTTTATATTATATAAATATATAAGTATATATATATAAGTATTCAATAGAAATTCCTTAGAAACCACTGAGAAATCTCATATAAAATAACATTTCAGTATGTGAAATATTTGACAGTAAATTTTAAAATTTACATTTTTCAGTATTTCATTTGCTGAATAATTACAGCTCAGTTAATTTCGAAACTCAGATTTTAAAATATTTCAGTTTTTCAAATTATTTACAGTAAATTCCGATATTTACATATATTCCGATATTCCAATATATATTGAAAATAAGATAAAACTTTACAATTAATTTCTTTCAAATATACAGGTCATGTCTTCTTTGTGCAATTTGCATTTCCATGGGTTGTAAAAGTCTCGATTAGTCCGGTTCTAACCAATCCTGAATACTGTACTAAGTACATTGTACTTATTGATTTAATTATATAAAATAAAACTTGTTACATATTTAAAACACATTTTTAACCAATCTGTAACCAATAGTTTAGTACACTTCATATAAAATTAAATTTATTGTTAGAAAATCTCTAATATCATTGAAGTAACACACACACAGCATTATGTAATAATCATTCGACCTGGGATTTGGCTTTTATCGGTCGAGTTTCAGGCCAGCCGGAGAGACTACATATATTTTTTTTTCCTTTTATGTGAGTTGTCCCATAAATTCAATTTATTTTTCCCGGTATCGTTTTGAAAGTACTTCAAAGGGTCCATATATTTTCAATCAGTCAATTGAATAATCCTCTTTTTCGATTCCTGCATTTGTCGACGATTTTTCAAAAAAATCATGCTTTTATTGATCCTTTTGATGATGTTAAATTTTGTTGTGTTCTCGTTGTATATGCATTGTATAATCACGTTTTCTTCTCTTCCTATTAAACACCTGACCCTGACTACGAATACCACAATTGTATATTCAGCAATTTGCGAACGACACGGTAATTGCATCACTTGGTTCGCCTCTCCCGATGTCTGCGACAGCTCCAATTACTCACAACAACCGCTCCTTTCTTACAATTCCAAGAAATTCTGAATAATACATTGATTTAGTTCAAGTTATATAAACTCATTTTTAGTTATTTATTCAGAACAGTTTTCTTTAGAAAAGAAATGTGTAAAGCATTGCAAATCCTTCTTATTAAATCCAATTAATTATTTTTATCAAGTATTATTTTTTATTTACTTACAGGAAATAAGTTTAAGTATTGAAAGATTGTTGAATGCAATTGCTGTCAATTTTTAATTAAATCCAACTAATAATAAATAAATCATTTTTTCTTTCAGTAAAAAAACTAAAAGAGAAACGAGTATAATTTACAAAAAAATATAATTCATAGCACATTTTTGACAAATCCAACTAATTGTGTATAAAACATTATTTTTTTAAGTAAAATAAAGACTTGTATAAATTTTATTTAGAATTGAAAGAGAAATGAGTATAATTTGTAAAATTCTTGTCTTTGTGTGTATTCTTGAAATCCAACTAATTATGAATTTATATTTTTAAGTCAAATAAATTTTAAATTTATTTGCAGAAGAAAAGTTTTGTAATTATAAAACATTCTTGTGAAATCCAAGATATTGTGAATTCTTTATTTATTTTGCTATTGTAATACGCAAGAAGAATTGTAAGAGAAATAGCTATAATTTGTAACACAATGTAATCCAAATCTGAAATGAAATTATTGAAATACTGTTCGTATAAGCAATTCCGAGTTTCCGTTTTCTTAGCCAATTTATCGCCGCATTAAGTGATGAAGGAGACGCCAATTCATAAAGCTATTTTAAGCGTGATTCAATTAACACCGCAATCCACAGTTTGAAGCAGTTCAGTTACGAAATTAATTTCCTTTCTCCAATCTCTTTCGTTCATTAATATTTAATTATAAATTTTGGGTGGCTTCTCCCCCAACTTTAATAACTTTTCTTCGTTCCAAGTTCTCCTACATAGACGGATGAATTAGTGGAGCAAACTATGAGTGTTGATGATTTAATTATAGAAACAGCAGATGTTGATTTTTTTGTGTGAATGCAATGAGTTTCGAATATTTTGAAGGATTCATGAGAATATTACATTGACAGATGTGTAGGTTGGAGCAAAGTTCGAACAAAGTTTTAGTTATTATTGAACATGTGAAGTTGGTTCGAATATTGCCTAGAATACATTCTGAATGTGAGAAGCCTCCCACATGTAATACGAGTTTCTGGAATTGAATAGCAGAAAATTTCATATTTTATTATACATAAAATTGTATCTCTTTTTTTATTGAAGATCTGGAAAATATACATTTTGAAGTAATTAAAAGGAAGCTGCACGAATGGTAATAAAGCGATCTCATTGCTCCTCTGAGACCAATTCTGAGTTGTTTTTTAAAATTTAAATTGGACTTGTTGTTGCTTGTTTTTATCTGAGAAAAAACTAATTACAATTTTCTGGTGGAGGCGCCAGGTCGTTCCATTATTTTATCTGTATAATTTATGGATGATATCGATTTTACATAAGACAACGCCTACTGAAAAATCACTAAATTAAGTAGTATATAAAAAAAACAAGAGAAGATAAATAAAATGATGAAAGTAAAGCAAAAACGTAAAATCTAAATAACAGAATTAATATTAATTTTTGTAGTGTTTGTAAAAATTAAATCACTTTTTTCCTTAATGAAAATTTTATTTTCTTAATACAAAATTGGAAAGCTACACACGTTGCTTTACTTTTTTTTTAAATGTCATAAAATTATTAATTAGTTTATATTTGATTAGTATTGTATAATAAATGATCAAGTTGGTTATGAATATAAAACAAAACAGAAGTTATACGTAACTATGGAATTGTTTGCATTGTGTGAATATCCGTCTGTCATCGGTGTCAATTACATCAGAATTGATTGTGATATAAAACGTGTTCCCTTTTTGTTGTTGGTGCTTTGTGCGCGAGGATCCTACCCCAAACCGGCAGTCAGTAGGAAAGTCTGGATTTGAGGCTTTTGAAGGGGTGTGCAAGGCGTAGGTTGCGGGAATTTTTGTGACGTCAATGGTTGATGGCGCCTCCCCCATTGGCCGCTTCGAAAATCGCAGCCCTCTCTTCGCCGGAGGGAAGAAAACCCGGATTCAACAATCCGTTCTTCGGTTCCTGTTAAAAAATAAATATAACGGATGACCTGCAGAGATTTTCAAACCCATTGGTCGTGAGTATGAAGCAGCAGCATCGACGGTGGTTTATTGACCGGACCATCTGATGCGGTTTTCGCGGTGTCCCGAAATTTGGCGCACGAAATAATCCTGCCGGGGTGGCAGCAACTTGTTACGTTCTGCACGCAATAAATCTGGGGGCGCGAGAATCGGCGAAACGGGCCGAAAAGGGCCGCGGGGGGCGGCCGAGGCGCACCGCTGAAAACGAAGACCAGTTTCTGCATTGTCGTCCTGCCGGCGCGCCTGTCAGGATACTTACACACACACGTACACGCCACTGCAGTGCACGTATCTACCATACATACCCTTTCATACATCCTTGTTCCAAGCACCGAGCGCGCAAACTGATTGCAGTTGTAGTACTCTACTAAAACTATCTCACTGCTACCTGTAAAACAGCAATTTACGATCCGGAGGGCACGAAGAGCAATAACTACGATTCGTATCCAGAAAAAAAGTTCCGGACCGGTGAATTGAAGGAAGAACAAAGGGAAGGGCTCATTCGACTCGACTGTTGTAAACAATGGTGCATCTCGGCATCGGTGGGCAGGTTATCGAGGAAGGGGGAAACTTGTACCCCAGAAATCACATGGACGTAATCATTGATACGCAGAAAATGGTGAGATTGATTCCGAGAGGGAAATGCATGCTATTCTTCTACTATCTATCCACTCTAGGAACTATCTTCCCTTTCTTTGTGAATGCATATAAATAGCCTTATTCAATCCCTTGGATTGAAAACGCATGATGTTTCTATACACTGACGACTATCCAAACTTATACACATAAAATTAGCTATAAACATTCACGTTTTTACATAAATAATATTCAATTTATTACAGATATATTAAATATTCAAAATACATATAAAGATGGATTTTTATAGACTTTTAAAAATATTAAAAACAATATTAAATTACTTATAATTATTTACAATTGTAATTAGAAATTATTAAGAAACTTTCAAATATTTTATGAAATTTTGTATAAAATAACACTTTAATATAAGTTTTGTTTAATATTATTAAATACTGATCCTAGAAATGTAGGCCAATGCATAGAACAAAATTTGAATACTACTCGACTTGGATTTAGTTAAAGAGAAGAATTTCTAACTATTACTACAACTGTTATACCGTGAAAGCAAAACTAAAAGGTCTATTCACAACATCGGCATTCACAATCAAAGCCTTTCTTCTTGTTTGTAATTGAATTTTAGAAATAATTGCTTTCTTTTTGTGATTGTATTTACTATACACATTTATTCAATGACTTGGATGGAATGTGCATGAAATCGTTTGAAACGCAGACAATTCTGTCCGGATGATTTAAATTCATTTTTCGCTTGATCGTGTTTCAATCAATGCAACTCCGTATTCTATGTATACAAGAAGTGACATAAACTGTACAAGTCTTAAAGATTTTCAAAACTTTTATATTTACATTATTTCCGTTATAACTAAAGTTGACGTCTATTTAGTGCAAATCAGTTTAGTAATTAATTTGGGAATAGTTGAATGTAATTCTAATAAAGCGATAATGATTTCATAAAATAACAAATCATTTACAGAAATTCATTTCTCGCTTCATCGAGTTTCAATCAATGCAATTCCGCGTTTTGTGAATCTATCAGTGTAGCTGAGAATTTATGTAATCCGTTTTACAAGCTTTCAATGTTTAAATCCTATACAGTGACAACAATTTAATTTATTTTAATGTATTTAAATATCTTCATATTTCGCTTCTTAAAAAGTTGTTATATTATATAAAACTAACTTAATTATCAAAAACTATAAGAAACAATAAAATTATTTCTTTTTATTACGACCTTATTTCTGCCACTCTTATATAGTGTTTATCGATCACCACAATACAATGGATTTGGTTTGAGTCTAAAGAACGAATAAATTGGCAATGATCTTACAAAGGATTCAAGGACGAAATCGATATTCCAATTAATTAAAAGAAAAGAAGTCCATGTTACAAACCTGTTGCTATTCGTGCTTTATTCTGTGTACTTCCGTTTTCCTTCTAGAAACAATAATGATGAACTTGCATTTATATTCGTTTGAATATACGCTGCTTCCGCAACAGCGAGAGTGCTTTCTCGACGAAGTTACGCTGTCCAAATTGTATTACATTTCCAGCTAATAAGAGCATAAAGACGTTCCTCGTAATAATAACGATACAGTACAAGCACTAAGGGTCTTCCAGGTTCATGGCCCAATTTCACAATAACAACAACAATGTAAATTGGCTTCTGCGAAACGAAAGAATACATATTATAGTTGTTTTCGCATTGATATTCAATATAAAATCGTTGTCTCTTATTAGAATACTATTATTTTACTTTTATTCTTAGTGAATAATTCAATTATTTTAAAAAAATATAATTTAAGACTTCATATAAACCTATTGTGATTTAAATATATTTTACTTAATTTAACACTTATAAAATTGTTTATTTTGATGATTCAAGAAATAAATTAATACATTTTTTTTAGTAATTATAACTAAATAAATGATGAGATAATTAAGGTAATAACGTGTTAAATTATTTAACGTTCGGCACCTCTATAATTTACTACTGTATCAATACTGTTGAAACAGAATTTGAAGGTAATGGAAGAGAACGTGATAATATTGTCCGAAACTTTTGATTGGATTAATTATTATTCTAAACAAACTTATTTACCCCAATAAATATAACAAACACAAATCAAATACAGTGGAACCTCGCTTAACGAGTTTAATCCGTTCCAAAATTTCCGGATTTTTACTCGTATACTGAAATGCTCGTATAGTGAAACACGTTTTCCCATATAAACTATTGTAAATTATCTTAATGCGTTCCATGCCGGGAAAAAAGGAGAATTTTGTCTCAGTTTTTCATGATTTTGCTTTTCATATCTATGGTTCGTTTTATTCTTTTAAAAAACACAAATAATATGTCTGAACACAAGTTTGGAAATATTGTGATCACAAACAACACTAAGATGCAATTAGAATGACCACTAACACTAGGAACTGTTTCCAATTCACACACGTTGAAGTGAGTTTATATTACTTGTATCAATTCAGTGACTAAGTGGAGGTCTCTTTATACTTTTAATATTTGTTTATATAAAAAAGCGTACATAGTGTGTTTATATACTATAATAATGGTTGGACACAATATTTTTGTGTTTTGCATTTACAGAAAACACAAATTATATTTGCAAAGTATAGTCCGCTTTAAACAAAGATGACAAAAAAAATGAAGATGGTTCATATATGTACACAAGTTTTCAAAATGATGAAGCAGGCGCGCAATCCGGGACTTCTCTTCTCATCGTCACTAGTTTTGCGAAACGTCGCTCGTTAAGCGAGTCAATTTTCTTACAATTCATTTTGCTCGTTAATCGAGGTTTCAATGTATTACAAATTATGAACAACTATTATAGAACATTTTTGACAATAATCATTACAAAGAACATAATAATTGTAGTATAAGATTTTCCATTATCAAATCCAAGTAATTTATTTATTTGTTGTATGTAAATGTCGTTACTATTAATACTTTCTAGTTTTTTTTTAAGGTTTTCCTTGATTTTATTCTATGTTTAAGGTATAATTCAAATATCAAACGTATTTAGCTTGGAATTAAGCTAATATTTATAGAAGAAACTTTTTCTTATGTGTTGTATATTTTTGTTTTGATGAATATATAATGTTCATTAATTGTGATATTTAGAAATACGTTCGTAAAATAGATTTGGAATTACTTACATCTGAAATTATATTGATAACAATTGTGATTGTGTCTGTATTAGTTAATTGGATCATTGTCAAAGAAGTAGAAAAAACAAGTTTGAAACTAAGATAATGTGAATGGTTTAAGGAGATTAAGAATAATTTGAGAAAAAATATATTTATAACAATATATTATACAAAAACTAATAAATATATCTTAGAACAATAATTAACAAATAAAACTGATTTAGAAGGATTCAGTTGGTAAGATGAACTCGGTGAGATTCTCGTAACAAATCTTGTATCCGTTTTCATACTTCTCCAACGATCTGAGCTCAACTTCTCGCAGATCCTTCCACATGAGCCACAAATACCGCACAACATACAGAAGCTGAAACGTAATTAAAATTAGCGTTCTTAAGGGGTTGTTAACAAAGAAAGCTTACATAATAAAATCCGTAATTGTTTTCCTCCTTGTCGCGCAAATTAGTGGCGACTTTGTGCAGATCACTTATAAACTTGGAGTGTGCCGAAATCAAAGTATCCCAGTCGTGCGCCAAATCTAAATCCTCGGCGAACTGCGCCCTGCATTTATTAAAAACGAAACCGAGCACGTAATGCTGCATAGAGCTGAAGAGATTAATTAATCCGAATCGCAGGACCTTGAGGCGCATCTGCAGGATCCGCACGGCCTTACCCGTTTTCCCTTTGACCTTTTTACGTTCGATGTCTTCAACAGAAAAAAAAAGAACAAGAGAGAAAGAATGAGAGATTAATTCGCGTTTCGTGCTGCAAGGTAATTGCGGTTTTACCGGCGAAATGTAAATGGTTTAAGGTGAACAGCGCCCATTTAATCTGCAGGATGAAATCGAACAAATCCTTATAGAGGATTAGATTCTGCTTGCTTATGATCACGTTCACGGGCCAATTTAGCTCGTAGTGGAGACGCAGCATGCTGCATGCCTTTAAAGGATCGTTCAGGAAATCCCTCCAAGCGTCTTTGACTAATACGTTGACGCGGTCGTAGTGCTCCGGATAGATGTCCATCAAGATGTCTTGAAGATGCGATGTCAACCAGATGTCGTTACCCCATTTCCCACCTTTGTCGATCTAAAATTGGGGATTATCGCACAGCGTTTCGAAGTGAAAATTCAAGTAAACCTTTTCGAAGAGTTTCCTGTAGAACGGGAATATGACGTCGTCTTCGAATAGGAAGATGTTGCTTAATAGTTTGAGATGCGTCTCCAATTTGTGCTCCGAAAACAATAAGCTCTTGACGACGCGTCCGGAAGCCCCATACCTCTCTTTCAGTATCTCCCTGAAAGTGTTTTCTATAATCTGCTGCGCTGGGAATATGCGTTGCGTTATCAGCGAAATCCTTTCGTGCAATTTGGGCGTCTTCGGCTCCGTCTGAGCCTCATCCTCGGTCACGTAGAACGAGCGGTAAGCGCTCATCAAAAAGCTATCAGACACATCGACTAAATTCTCCAATCTGTCCATTTCGGTCGTGTACTTGCAAAAGTCTGAGCACATCGCCGGGAATCTGTAAACGTCCCCACTTTCGTTCACCCTGCAACTAGCCACCAAATCTGGTAGTTCTATAGCTTTGGTTGCATCAAAGTAAGTTTCAATCGAAGCAATCACACGAACGATAAGCTCATCATGCAAAGATACTGCAAATTAAAACAACTTACAATTATACAACAAAATCAAATTATAAAAGCATACCAGAATTATTCAACTGATTCACCAAATGCAACTTTCCAAACAACTTGAGCAAATGGATGTTTTTCCCAATTTGCAGCACCTCGTTTATTATGACTTGGAAAAAACCGTCGTTTAAGATTTCCTCTGGTAATTCTTTCACAGAAAACCTCATTTTCCAATCCGCCGAATGCACATCCTCATCTACATTAGAACTAAACAATAATAATATGAACATTTCAATCAACAATAATTATAGTAATAATCACTTGATAATAGGAAACTCATTGTAGGAATTCTCCAAATTTCCTCGACTCAGCCAAGTATCGATGACATTCACGAATTTGTACAAACTCTCCAAATAGATACTCAAATATATATCCTGTTCAGATTTCGAATAAGCCCTTAGCATACCCACGTGTAAAGCTACCAAAAGCCTGTATTCGTTTCCATCAGATTCGAGGATTTTAACATTGTTTCTGTGTATTTTCAGCAGAGCTTTGGTGGTTTTGAAGTTTTGCTCGAAAAACGATGCTAGTTTTAAAAGCGTCATAGTTTCCTCTAAAAAACGAAACATAATTTAGCTTTTTTTTTCTAATTAAACAAATATAAGAGAATTAAACCTTGCGCGATAATCTTCTGCTCCAATTCCACAACACCTTCAATCCCTTTAGAAAGAATATTTTTCAAAGCTTCAGCGTAACTTTTCAAAGTTTCAGTAGATGAAAATTCCTGATTAGTCACTTTCACTTCAAATGCACGAAATTCTTGTAACATTTCGATATATGGAATGAATTCCCAAAGGAACGTCTGCAAAGCTTCCTTAAAAAATAATATTTATGCAGTTAAATCAATGCAGAAAATCCAATTTTTTAAAAACTTACTGGTCTGCAACTGGAAATAGTGATGTCATCTTTAGGAACCAACTGGTTTCCTGAAAATTTGTAGATCATACTGTTATGGGGTTCCCACAGCTGCCAAATCACTTCTCGCACCATTTTGTATTCGGAAATAATGTTGGTCGGATTTCCGAAGGATAAACCCGACTGCAGCAAATGCTTGTCCCTGTTACACAAAAAATAGTATATAAAGTTACGTTGGCGTACAAAAAAAAATCCTATTGGATTTTCACCAATTTACCATAAAATCGCAACATTAGCTTCAGGATGTACGCTCTCCGGCTTCATAAAAATAAAATTCCTATTAAACCATCCACTCTGCACACTTTTCATCGCCAAATCCCATTCTTTTTTATGCTCATCCGCTTTGGGGATTTCGGGCGACCTATCGCCAAAACGACAATTGACTTGCGTAACTTCCGCAGGACTTCTTACGCATGCACTTTCATTGTACACATTCGTTTCTTCTTCATCACTCCACTCATCCTAAAACATAAAAAAAAGTTAAGATTTTCATTAATATATATATTATATAATTATACTCACAGAATCAGAATATGCAGATGGATTCCATTCTTCAATTCCTTCCCTCAAATAACTGCCCCAATCGATTTCCTCCTCCTCTTTCACCTCATAATATTTGAAATCAGCTGGCATTTTTGCAAAGAAATTTGTGGGGCTTTCGGACAAGCAGAACAACAGTTTCATCATTCCCAATCTGCATTAGAAAAATTATGTAAAAAAACAATAACATACTAATAAGTGAAATTACCTGGTTTTCATCTCTTCTTTGTTTACATTGTTACTCAAATACTTCTCATGTAAACTTTTGATGTCAGCAGACTGTCTAAGAAAGCCATGGAACATGAACTTATCGGAAAGACTCTCAACATTCTCATCGATTTCCTTCTTCGTAATATAGAACACTGACTCCCCAGTCTGCAGCTCATGCATGACATACTTGAAGATGTGCTCAAAGATTGGAGTATTCTCCTACACACAAATTATAGAAAGATTAAATTACAATTATATTACAGTTGATTGCTCACCTCGAAATTTGATAGCGCATGGATGAGTTTCTTTATGGGATTTTGTATGTCTTCGGCGAACGGATTCCACGACATCTTTGTATCCTCGTAGCTTAATCCTATTGCATTTTGAATCCTTTAATCAGAGCAGATTTAAATCCACCAACTGTCAGTGAACGTACAGTGACAGCTCGAGTAGTTCAAATGAGCCGGCCGGGTTTATTGATTGCGTAAACCGTCATGCGCGTCTGTTGTTTCGGTTGCCTATAATACACTTATATAATTCAAAAGCTGAATTATTTAATTGTTACTTTTTACTATTTCTATATATAATCAAACTTTTAGAATGTAAGAATGAAACATTAAATAAACAATAATAAATAGATTAATTTTTCTTAATTAACAAATTTAATTACCGTTTTATTCAATGTGTTATTAATATTACAGTCTTTTTTTGTTATATTTGTCTTTGTAATGGCTTTAATTTTACTACAAAACTAGTAGTAGTTAAAATTGCAAACAGTGTAGTTAAAATGAGTAATAATTTCATATTGAGCTGATTATTGTTGTTTAATGGACGTAATTTCAATGGGTTTTTAGAAAGTTTTTGAATTAATTGAACATAACGTGTATTGTATTCCTACATCACATTTCACATATATTTCAAAACTTATTTGATACAGATTTTCTTTTTCGTAAATCATATTTGCTCTTAATTATTTTGTTATTATCTATATATGGGATTATTTTTGGGAAATAAAAAGAAATTTCATTCAATTCGTAAGCTTTAATTTTAATTATATAATTTCATTCATTAATAATCTGAATGTTAAGAAGAAATCATATAAATATCCTCATTTTATTATATATATTCATATTGTGATTTGATGTCATATTTTCATTGGATTCTTCGTAAATGGATTTAGATTCCTGAAACAATAAATATAATTGAAATTGACAATGTTGTAATAAGAGGACGAAATAACATTCTTTATTTATTGTTTGATTTAGATAAATATTTACTATGAAACCGAACTGTGTAGTAGTTAAAAAAATTTCATTTTGGATTAATTGTATCGGATTTTACAAATATTTTATGTTTGCTTTGATCAAAAAGTATTCATATTTATCACAATAATTCAATAAATTCAATATAGTTTCATTGTTAATTCATTTTACTTTAAAGCAATTAAATAGATAAATTAAAGTTTTCAACGTACCTTGGGAGGCCCCATCATAGTCTCATTTTCCATAAAAGTCATATTTATATTCTTTGGAATATCTCTGGTTAAACCACCTGAAATGAAATATAAAGATAATTAAGCATACTGATTAATTACGCAATTATTACGTATGTCTCGGAATCCTTCAAAACCGTAAGTAGATGCCTGAAACAAATAAATATATATATTCTATAATATTCTCTATTTATTGATTGATTTAGATAAATATTTACTATGAAACCGAACTCAGTAGTAGTTAAAATTAGAAATAATTTCATTTTGCATCGGATTTTACAAATATTTTATTTTTGCTTTGATCAAAAAGTATTCATATTTATGACAATAAATTCAATGTATTTTCATTGTTAATTAATTTTACTTTAAAACAATTAAATAAATAAATAATAATTTGCAACGTACCTTGGGAGGCCCCATCATTATAGTACCAGTCATGGTTCCATTTTCCATAGAAGTCATATTTATATTTTTTGGAATATCTCTGGTAAAATTACCTGAAATGAAATATAAAGATAATTAAGAATACTAAATAATGACGTAATTATTACGCAAGTCTGGGAATCCTTCAAAACCGGTAGCAGTTGCCTGAAACAAATAAATATATAACTATCACTAGCAAAAATAACAACAATATTCACATACAAAAATAAACATTTTCATTCATAACTCAAATAATAAAAAAAAATGATAACTACTGCAAAGGGCTATTGACCATAAGTCTTTTTGCTGAAATTATATATATTTACCATAAAATTGGCAGTAAAAACGATGAACACAGTAGTTAAAAAAACGAACAGCTTCATGTTGGATTTGCTATGCTATGATTGAGATGATTCTGGGATTTTATATATATTTAGTATTGTACAAAGCGTTATTGTTGTGGATTAATAGGAATCATTTATTGTCATTTGATGAATGTTCTGAAATTAATTGACCATAAAAAAAGGATGTACAATTTTCAACAAAAATGTATTACTTTTTTTTATCTACAAATGTCACCAATTATTTGAATTTTTTGTGTAAAACATATTTTACTTTATTCGCAATTTTTATACATTTTTGTTGATAATTGTTTGTAATGAAAAGAATATGTTTTTTCTATGTCGTATAATTTTATTCACAATCTGGTCATCAATGTGAACATTGAGTAAATTTATTCCCGGTGGATAGTTACCATTATGAAGATCTGCTGCTATCCTTAACACTGTTATTGTCCATCGACTTGGCTGAAGGTCCATATGCTAAACCTCTTTGGCCCTATTGCTGCAAGTACCGAGAGGGCTCACAAAGGGCCTGGCTTGGCCAGGATTTGAACCGGCGCCCACGAAATCGTGGGTAGGGTGACTATTTAAAGAAAAAAATAATTTTACACAAATCTTAGGACTAAAAGTCTACTTATCTCTAATTATCTTTTAAATTATTATTATTTTTATATAAACACAAGATATTATATATAATTATAATATTTAAGTTATTACAATTAAATAATAAGAGCTTTTCTTGCATCAATTTGCTATAGTTTTTTTATATACAAGTTTCTCAACTATATTTCCACTTTTAGAAAGTAACGACATTCTCATTTGAAAACTTCTTTATGTTCGCTGGAGTATTTCTGTTGTTCAGTATAACAAAAAAAACGTGTAGAGTAGAGTTTAATTGCAAACCTCTTGTGTATAATTATATGCCGGAAAATATAACATTTTACCGAACAGTTTGCAAAAGAAAATAATGGAAGAAATAGTGAGAAAATAAGAAGTTAAGATTTATTTCTATTGATTTTATCAGAAACAGATTTTGCAATTAGTTGAATTTTAGATTTATTTTTGAGATTCTTTGAGAAATTTACAAAAACATTAAAATACTTTTTGTATAGTATTTTAACTTTGTTAGATATAGATTATATAATTAATTAAGTTATTTAAAACGCTAAGGTTAATAATCATATCATTATTTGAATTTTGCTTACATTTTTGAGGAATTAAAAAAAAATATTTTCATAAAAGTAAGAAAGAATATTTAAGTTATGTACTTTATGACATATTTTAAATAAACAAATGAAAGCTTATATAAAAATGACGTTTATCTGAATCTGATTTCTTTGTCTTCAGTAATTCTGAAACGTCGGAATTTCATTTTCACAAGTATTTTACAAACTACAATTAAATGATAAACGTTGTGCTCGGATCACTTAAGCATCGCAGCAAATTTATGCCTATGATAAATGAATCTTTCTGCTTAAACGCTTAAATTAATTATCATATCTCCAGACACAGACAAAACGAGCAAAGAACATCAGCATCGATCTTAAGTTGCACGAATTCATAACACAAATCTTCATTTGATATAAAAAAATATTTGTAAATTTACTTATTGATTATTTTATAGAAACAAATCTGTTACGTAAAAACATTTAATTAATTCATTTGTAAAAATCTGATTAAAGAGATGTAAATAAAATTTACAGTACAATTTTCCGGATTTTTAATAGGTCAAAGTTGAATTATTCGGTGCAATTTGTGATCGATTAAAAATCCGTTTATTACGCAACAAAGCACGGCGTTTGCGGTTAATTTAATCCTTTGATCCTTCGATGGACGTGTCGTGCTGCATTCATTTCGCGCAGAATTAATCTGTGCCCTTGTCACATCAAACAAAAAAAACAATAATAATAAAGCAGAGCAAAATTTCGAATACATATTTATTGCGCGGAAATAGACATCAAAAGTATATTCATTTTAACAAAAAGTGAACGTTTATTGGAAAAACATCTCTAGTTTGTATTCTTTTGACGTTTGTATTTTGACGTTAGTATTTTGACGTTAGTATTTTGACGTTAGTATTTTGACGTTAGTATTTTGACGTTAGTATTTTGACGTTTGTATTCTATTAACGTGAGTATTCTTTTGACGTTTGTATTATTTTGACGTTAGTATTCTTTTAACGTTGTATTCTTTTGACATTTGTATTCTTTTGATGTTAGTATTTTTTGACGTTTGTATTCTTTTGACGTTAGTATTCTTTTGACGTTTGTATAGTTTTGACGTTTGTATTATTTTGACGTTAGTATTATTTTGACGTTTGTATTCTTTTGACGTTGTATCCTTTGACGTTAGTATTCTTTTGACGTTGTATACTTTTGTCTTTTGTATTCTTTTGACGTTTCTATTCTTTTGACGTTGTATACTTTTGACTTTTGTATTCTTTCACGTTAGTATTCTTTTGACGTTTCTATTCTTTTGACGTTGTATTCTTTTGACGTTTTTCTTAATTCTTTAATATAACATATTTTCCTACATTTATTGTAAGATATTTAAACTAATCCAATTCCAAATGAAATCAGAATAAAGGTAATTAGGATTTAATGTGTCAGGTAAACAAAGCTCAACGCTTTTGATCTGTTTGAAAACTAAGATAATACAGGAAATGTGTTCTTTGAACTGCGAAATTGCTTTCAATACAATTAATTAATTAACAGGTATACATTTCAAATCCGTGTGTTATCGAATTAGTGCAGATTATGAATGTCGTGATCCATTGCCTCTGAATACGCTTTATGGAGTTTCCGAATAAAATCGTTTATGCTTGAACGCTTTGACCTAAAAATCTGCTCTGCTCATTTGGAAAGAGTGCAAGCGTGCATATTTCATTGTAATTAAATTTAATTGATTAAAAACGTCAGTTGGATAAAATTTGAATGGTTTCAGAATTAAATGAACGATTATTTGATTATTTTCAGAACTGAATTTTTCAATAAAATATAAAGTTTAATATTTAATTAGTATCGTTTATGTAAATATTGTTACGTTGTAAATTACATTTTGTGTGTATATACATTTTATATTATAATATTATTACGAGTTTATTGATGAAACTAAAAATTTAATTTATATAAAAATTTGGTGGAAATTAGGGACAATAAAAATTAAACTATTTCTGTATTAAAGTGCACAACCTCATGGTACACGAGATAAAAATAATGATGTAAAGAATATCCTTTCGTTTCTTGAAAACTCTTCCATCTTTCAAATACTTTCAGAAAATTTATTGAAATTAAACAATTTTAAGTAAGAAATTCGTGGAACCCATCGTGTAGCCCAAGTGATGACTTAATATTCTTGATATTATCAATGCATTTAAGCCCAATTCATCACCTGTCTCATTATTGGATCTTTGTCAATTTTTGCCTTCACCAGGGCTATATTTGTGTCGTCGGTGAAAGATTTCGGGCGACCATCACGAGATTCGTTCTCAACAGAAAAATGCCCGGTTTGGAATCTTCGAAAATACTTGGAAATAGTCATAAGGGATGATGCATTCACTCCATATGCATTTTGGCATTACTCGAAAATTTGCATAGGCTTGAGTTGACGTCGAAATCGGTAGAGAATGGCAAAACAATTTTTTGCATTATTGGTGCTGGAATTTCTACCAACATTACATCACTAATCTTGCATTTTCTCCTATCCATTCTTACTGATCTTCTTGAAATTTGACATTTTTTTCAGAAACAAATGTTTTAACGCCAACTAAGCGAACTATATTTTATTTGCAAATTTTGTATTTGAAAGAATGTTGAAACATTTGTCATTGCAACAGGTTCTTTTACGAAATTAAGCATCTGCCTGGTAGTAATCCAAATCCGCGTGATTAATTAGTAGAGTCTAGATAATTAAATACCTAGATAAACAATAACGTAATTAATTGCATGGCATTAATTAATTTAATCTATTGCAACCACTACATTTCTCCAATTTTATTTAATTTTCTACTTTTGAATTATGTTCAAATTAATTAAAGAATTCTACATAAATTGTAGTTAATTGTTTTATTTAAGTTTTTATAATATGCAGACAAAAAGTATACATTTTGCAATTTTTTTATTTATAACTAATATCTTTGTTTTCATAATATTTTCGTTAATTAAAAACAAATTTTCTATTTATTTTGTTGCAATTTTTAGGTTTCAAATAGTTGTATATATTTTTAAACATGTAGAAATAATCAACATATTGCTGAAACTGATAGAATTTCTATATTTTTGTAGTACATTTTCTAAGTAGTAATTCAAGTGTAAATTTATATTATGTTTATATTTTCAATACAGCTGACTTTAAGAATTTATGCATAGTTCATGTATGGATTTTGTTCAACTACTAGAATATACATTTTGAGTCTAATATTGTCGGAATGAAACTTGACATGCTAAAAGTAAATATTAGTCTTCTAGCATTAAATGTATATGCAGACTGGTGTATTCAGAGTACTAAAATGGACGGATGAATAAATACGCTAAGAGAAAGTTTCATTTAAATGAAACAGAACTTACATAAATATAAAATTTACTTCTTAGGTTGATTGAGATTTAATAATAAAAATATATTGTAGATTATGAATGAGCAAATTAAGAACTCAACTTTTGTTGTCCGTTACTCCTGTGACATTTCGTAACATCGTTACTCGCGTGGCGTTTGAGAAACTCCGTTAAATGTAACATTAATAATTGATACAGATAGATTTTGTACTTTATTGTGTATTTACAAATAGTAAAAATGGTATATAATAATTTAAATGAAACTGAAGTTATATTAAATTCTTAAGTAAATTGAGGAATAACAAGAAAAGTTATACAAATAGCGATTAGTGAAGTCAATGGAAGCAGGTATTTTGGGGAACACGCGAATACCAATTTCCTTTTTGAAATGCGGTTCGAAACCAATTACTATAAAATGTAATTACTTACATGGAGCTTTAATAACTGTCGAACATGTTTCGTCCGATTAAATTAAAGTTTTATGACGCGAATCGAT